CTGCCACAGTGGTCTAGAGACAGAGATCACTAGGATCTGACCAATTTTAGGTTTCCCGGGCCTATCACTGAGGCCCCAGGCCATCTGTGCTGCCTTCCATACCCTGTCCCTAGAAGGTGGCACCTCATTCCACATTGTGCTAACCATGGTTGGGGGAGCAGGTGGAAGAAGTCCCTTGGCTTCCTAGGCTGATGTTAAGCCCGTTGGCTCCTGAGTCACAGCCACAAGGACCTGCACAACAGGCCCTCCCGGCAGCGGAGGGCATGTTGAGCCTGTCCTGCTGCAGAGCTTCTTCCTGCCTAGCGCTGGGATGTCCTGGAGGCTCGGTCTGTGTGCAGTGGCCTGAAGGGAGGGGACCTCGGGCTCTGGCTGGTGTCCAGTGTCATCACAGTGGGTTCAGCACTGAGCTATAAGGCTAAGTCCTGTGCCTACTCTCGTCCTATCCCAGAATTGCAGCCTTGCCCTTGACTGTGCTACCTGAGGCTGAGGAAAGTGCTGTGGAGCCAGGTTTCTGGCAACCTGGCCATGGCAGACCCAGAAGCTCAGCCTGCCAGCACTGGCAAGGAGCCAGGAGCCTAGGACTCTGCCAGCATTGGGCTTTCCATGGCGGGCCTGGCCCTGGACACTCCCAGGGCACTGCATGGAACTGGGGGGACGTCCCTTGCCCACACTGCTCCCTGGGCAGTCCTGCACAAAAGACACCACAGGGGCTGTGAATTCAGGTCTCTGGCATGAGTCACATGGTCTATCTCCCTAGTGGGAAGGGTCTCTGCCCACACAGCAATGCACAGAGTTAGGGGAGAGGTAAGACAGACAACTTTCTTCTTCCCACCTTTTCTTATTCATATACTGAAACCACGGAAGCTGGTGTCTCTTGGGTTTCCTTAGCTCTTAGGAAGGCAGTTCGGTGCATGAATTCACTATGCAGGTTGGGGCCCAGGGAACACTGGATTGGGGAAGGCAGGCCCTACTTGTCCTTGTCAGGCAGTGCAGAGTCCCCCACTTTCCTCCCTCACGCCCAGGAAACAGAGCCAGAGGCTGCCAGGTGACCAGTCTGTCAGCCGAGGGCCCAAGTCAGGACCTGGGCTGTGGCTGGGAGGGACTGCACACAGATCCGAGGAACTTCGCAGGCCAGGCTGGCCGGACACAACCAGAGGGATGGGAGCAGCGTGTGCCCAGGGAGGGAAGCCCATGCCCACCTGTGTGCCGCCCTGTGTCTCGGTGCCCTCCTGGGCACTGCCGGAAAGGCCTAGCAGCAGCCTCAAGGCAGAAAGACATTGACCTCCCAAGGGGAGATCTCGTCCCTGCCTGCCTGAACCACCAGCCCTGCCCCCGCACCTTACCACAGACAAATTCTCAGATTTAGCCTTATGTTGTGACACATCAAAACAGGTAGATGTAATGCAATGGTCCAGCTCAGGTCATGAGTGGGTGACAGAGCAGACACCAGGAATACGTATCTGCCATTCATGGCCTACACTGGCTTCAATGTCAGTGGTACCTACAGGTGAAGGAAGCAGGCTGGGAGTGAGCACAGTTAACCCTGAGCCAGGCTGCCGACCAGATGCCATGCAGCTCTCCTGGAAAAAAGAAGGATCTCGGAAGCTGGAAAGGAAAAGGAACCATAAATACTCCCAGCCCAAAGTTAAACTGTTGTAGGCAGCTGAGTTGGATAGAAATATTACAGGCAGTCAGGCAGGGCCAGGCCCTGGAAGGAGCCAGTATGGAGGACAAGATACTTGGCAACACGAGAGGTAGGCACTTCCCCTTTGAGCCAGACCTCAAGACAAAAGACTAAACAAATGCACCCACATACCTCCCTAGGGATGGACACCAGGGATTGACATTCTAGAACTCGCTTCCCCATTCCATCCCGATTTAATCAATTTTATCTGAACAATTCTTATTGGCTGAACACAGTTTTGTCCTACTTCATGATTTCCCATTTTTCCCCACCTTGGACCCACCTCACCTGGTGGTTTTGCTCTATGAAAATCCTTGGAAAAGACAGGTTCCCTGGGCAACCCACTCGGGCCCCCTTCTGACCCTCTCTCGGACAGCTTTCTTTCCCTTAGTAAACATGTTCTGCTCTTAACCTCCGTGGGTCCTAAAATTCATTCTTCGATTTGACAGAACACTAACTCGTCCCAGATACCGTTCAGGTCGGGAGTGTCTATCTTCCTGTATCACCAGCAGAGAGCGCCAACGTAGGAACGCGGCTGGCGGACAGGGGCCTCGTTCCAGTGCCAGGTGCTCAAACTTTTGGTCAAGAGCGAGGCCCACCTGGGCGCAGCCCCGAGAGCCCGCTCCCCCCGCTCCCCACAGACGGCGCCCATCGGGCGACAGGAAAGGAGGCCCGGCGTCTCCCGCCGAGGCAGCCGGGGCTGGCGGTGGGAGCCGCAAACGACAGGGCAGGGGGAAAGCAGGACACCCGCATACGCCCTCGGGATGGCTCCGCGGACTGAGGGGCAGACGCAACTGGAAGCGAAGCTACCTAGGGCCAACGGTCGCCTCAGCTCCGCCAGACCCCTCAATCCAGCCCGGACCAGCCGTCCCAGCGGCCCACGCGGCCGGAAGTGCACCTCCCCTTTTCCGGTGCTAGGGCTCCGCCTCTCTAGGCCGCGCCCACTGGCCATCGGTGTGCCTGGCCCCCTCCAGTGCTCGCCAGTGCGTTTCCGCCTGAGGGCTGTCGCAGAGGGGGACCCGGACCTCTCAGGGACCCCTTAGGGCCGAGTTCCCGAGGCCAGGCCACATCCACCCAGAGAAGACCTACGGGAACCCTCTGCCTCTGCAGCCGCGCTGCCCCTGACGCAGGCCCTCCGGACCTGGGACCGCCCTGTCACGCCGCACCCGCCTACGTCCCCGCGTCGCCATCTAGCGGCGAGGCCGCCTGTCCTCCCCCTGGGCAGCAGGGAGCGAAGGCTGGCCATCCAGCGTTAGGTCCCTGGGTCCATGCCGTTCAACCTTGTCCTACTTTGGACCTCAGAGGCAGGCCGCTGCGACTCCCTGCAACAGGCGAAGTTCCTGCCGGTGGGAGCCCAGTGAACTGGAGGGCACTGCCGGATGGGATGAGGGAGGGAAGGCATGAATGAATGAGTGAATGAAGTGAAGAATGATTGTAAACGGGCGTGGTGGCACGCGCTTGTAATCCCAGCATTCCAGACGCAGAGGGAGAGGATCGCCTTGAGTTCGAGGCCAGCCTGAACTGCATCGCAAAAGCTTGTCTCAGAAAGAGAAAATTTTTAAAAAATGACTGTAAACCGGGAGTGCTGGTGCACACCTGAAGGCCAAAGCAGGAGGATCCAAGTTTGAACCCAGCCTGGGCAACTGGGAGACTGCGCCTCAAAATATAAAGTAAGAGAAGGCCTGGGAGTGTAGTTCTGCAAAGACCCCAAGTCCAATCCCCAATACCAATAAATGTCGAACAACATTCCATCCATTAAACACTAGGGAACAAATTTCTGGTTGGTGGATTTGGACCACAGTTTATGACTGAATTCTAGAGCTAGGGAAAGTTAATAGTGCTAAGCTCTTGTGCTTGCAATCGAAGAGGGCTTTCTGATCTGTGCACAGAAAAATGAAGCTCAACAGCACAGCTATGGACCTGGGTCTCTGCCTCCTCTGTCTGCAGGTGACGATGCTAACAAATGATTTAAGCGTTGTCAGGGCTGCTTCAGTAGGGCCTGAACCTCACTTACTGCAACCATGGCGAGGAGGCTACTCAGCTAAAGTTTGGTGTACATGTTGCGGCTTTCTCTGTGGATACCGGCTGATGGCGGAATGGTCGACACCTCACAGGAGGCCCCTGGTTAGTGGGCAGCTCACCTCAGTGCCCAGCAGGGCAGCTGTCAGAGAGTCCAGACCTCACCCTGAGCAGGGGTTCTTGTGGTGCTGTAGTAACTGGTTCATGTCCCTATTGCCTGTGGCTTCTCTAACCTCCTGGACACCTCCTTCAGGCAGAATGGTTGGGCCTCCACTTGCACAGTACTCAATCCAGAAGGTCAGGGGCCCTTCAGACAGTTTATTAACACCGCACTCTCAGTGGAGTCAGCCCCTGTCCAACTGCGCCTCTTTTTAGGGCCAGCATCCACCCTCCTTCACTTTGGGTTGGGTTGTCTAAGGCAGCTGTGCACTGACTCTGCTGGGCCTCTGAATACACAGGAGCCAGAAACAAAATGACTCCAAGGCTCCACCCCCTCAGCACATTAGAGACCAAAAGAGAAGATGGACTTGGGTGAGGATGGGAGACCAGCACAGGACTGCTGTGGACCCTGGAAGGAGCAGAGGTGACTGCCCCCATGGAGCACAAGCCAAGTTCTTCCTGTGTGTTACATTCCCACCACCCAAAGTACATCCATGGGATACTGCCCTCTCTGTTTCACAGGTGAAGGAGTGGGGCCAGGGAGGTTAAGTCACATGGTCTGGAGGCCAGTGAAGAATAGGAGCTTATGTCAAGCCTTTTAGAGAAGAGGAAGGCGTGGATGTGGAGCTTTGTAAGCACATAGCGCACTCTAAGTGAGCTAGGAAATACAGGAATGTTGGAATAAATAAATGCATAGTCAGTAGGTCAGTGTTATGGTTTGTATCTGGGTATCCCCCCCCAAAGCCTCATGCGGCCATGGGGCAGGCTTTAAGAGTTTGATTATGGGTGTGAGAGCTGCACCCGCCCTGGGGTGGATAGTTTGCATATGTAAGGGAGAGGAAAAGAGTGCTTGAGGCCATTCCTCCCCCATTCCGCCCTGGTGTGTGCTTGTTGCTTTGCTGTGTTCTGTCACCCTGAGCTGTAGCTCTCTGCCATGTGCCACTCTGCCTTATAATCTACCAAGTACAGACTGAAACCTCCACGAATTGTAAGAGAAATAAACCTTTCCTTCCTTAATTTTGGGCATCAGGTATTTTGTCCCAGCAAGAGAGAAAAGTAACCAAGACAGTCGGGGGAGGAGTGGACTCAAGTTAAACATACAGAGACAGTGCCAGAGCAGTCTCAAAAGGCAGACGCAGGTGTGTGCTGCTGAGTAGGCTGTGCCCACTGCTACCTGCTGGTCACCTGTGACCACACCGGGCCACATATTAAGTCAGGGGTGATATGAGCGGGCTGAGACCCACACAGAACTAGACCAGACCTTCTGACATGAGAGGAGTCTTTATTATGGGGGGAGAGAGACATGGCACGCTGCCCAGCAGAGTAGCACAGCCCCAAGCTGAGCAAAGCGTGGGGTTTTTAAGCTGTTTTTCAGGGTGTCTGTGGGCCAGAACATTTTCCGGGAGGGGCATGTCCATGGGCCAGAACAGCCCAAGCAGGGTGAGTTGTTCGTAAGAGTTGAACGTTGGTTCTGCCAACACAGGTGAGGGCAGAGTTGGCTTTTGTCAAGGGGAACTGGAGTGGCACAGGTGAAGAGGAAGTTTTTATTCACTCCTTAATAAAAGAGCTTAAATCCCCCATGGTGGCGGGGGCGGGGGGGGGGTTGCCTTGTAACTTATCAAAGGGAATATTTTCACCAGGCTCATTTATCACAACTTGCAGTGACAGAGCAAAGTCCAGGTGGGCTGACCTTTCTGTGCCCAACTACTAAAGGCCTGGCAATGCTCTCGTGCTCCCAGACAGCAAGCATCTGTCCACAACTGCAGGAGTACAGCTATGGTGATCTGGGGCCTGGTGCTGGGAGCCTTGCTGGTGGCCGTCATGGGCTACCTGTGTCTTCCAGGGATCTTCCGACAACGCAAGTCCCAGGAGCCCCCGCTGGACAAGGGCCCCATACCCTGTGTTGGCCATGCCGTGGCTTTCCGAAAGAACATGCTTGAATTCCTGAAGGGAATGCAGGCCAAGCATGGGGATGTGTTCACTGTGCAGCTGGGGAACCAGTTCTTCACCTTCGTCATGGACCCCCTCTCCTTTGGCCCCATCCTCAAGAATACAAAGAAAAATCTGGACTTTGCGCAGTATGCCAAGGAGCTGGTACGAAAGGTGTTTGGATACCAGCCCTTGAATAGTGACCACCAGCTGATGCACTCCGCCAGCACCAAGTACCTCATGGGGGACGGCCTGGCGGACCTGAACGAGGTCCTGCTGGACACCCTGTCCCTGGTGCTGCTGGGGCCCAGAAGCCCAAGACTAGATGCCAGCTGCTGGCAAGAGGATGGTCTCTTTCACTTCTGCTACAACATCATGTTCAAGACTGGCTACCTGAGCTTGTTTGGCTGCACGGAGGATAAGGAGCAGGACCTGCTACAGGCAGAGGAGCTATTCAAGAAGTTCCGCAGGTTCGACCTTCTTTTTCCCAGGTTTGTCTACTCCCTGCTGGGGCCCCGGGAATGGCTAGAAGTGGGCCAACTCCAGCGTCTCTTTCACAAGATACTCTCTGTGAGACACAACCCAGAGAAGGACGGCATAAGCAACTGGTTGGGCTACATGCTCCGCCATCTGAGCGAGTGGGGGGCTACCCCAGATATGCTGGACAAGTTTAACTTCATGATGCTCTGGGCCTCACAGGGGAACACAGGGCCCACCACATTCTGGGCCCTCCTGTTCCTCCTGAAGCACCCAGAAGCCATGCAGGCTGTGAAGGAGGAGGCTGCCCAGGTGCTGCATGGGACCAAGCTGGAAGCCAAGCAGTACTTCACCTTCCGGATCAGTGCCCTGCAGTGCACCCCTGTCCTGGACAGCGTGATGGAAGAGACATTGAGGCTGGCAGCCGCACCTACTCTGATCAGGGTAGTGCAGGAAGACTACACCCTGAAGATGGCCAGTGGGTGTGAGTACCTGCTCCGCCGAGGAGACAAAGTAGCCCTTTTCCCCTACCTCTCTGTGCACATGGACCCTGACATCCACCCTGACCCCTGCACCTTCAAGTACAATCGGTTCCTCAACCCTGACGGCAGCCGGAAAATGAACTTCTATAAGGCAGGCAAGAAGATCCACCACTACAACATGCCATGGGGCTCAGGTGTGTCCATCTGCCCTGGCAGGTTCTTCGCCCTCAGTGAAATGAAGCTCTTTATTCTGCTCATGGTCACATATTTTGACCTAGAGCTGGTGGACCCTGACACCCCAGTGCCCCCTAAGGATCCAAGGCGCTGGGGCTTTGGCACCTCCCAGCCCAGCTTTGACGTGCGTTTCCGCTACCATCTGAAGTCTATGGACTGAGCTCAGCCAGTCCTGGCTAGGAGGGATCTGGGGTCTCCCACCTCTGCTCACCCCTCTGCACTGCCACCCACCCTCCCTGGTTGGGAGCCCCCTCCCCCTATGTCCTGGATGTCTCATTCTTTGGCCTCCTGGTCATCTCAAAGGGGTCTGCAGAACCACCCTGGGACAGAAAGTACAGTGGAAGGGCACTGTCTGGGGCCAAGTTCATGGAGCGAGGATGTCCACTTCCCCTACCCCCATGAGAAATGCTGCACCTTGCAAACCTCAGCATCCACCCTCCTAAGCCGCTGTCTCCCACATCCTGTGGACTTCAGGGTCTAGAAACTGTCATCCTCTAGTCAAGCCACAGGTGCAATTTTTAACTTTTGTTTTTTTTTGTCCTTTTGAGACAGGGTTTCACTATGCAGTTAAGGCTGGCCTTGAGCTCACTTTGTAGCCCAGGCTGGTCTTGAACTCACAATGATCCTCCTGCCTCAGCCTCCTGAGTGCTGGGATTACAGGCGTGCACCACTACGCCAGGCTTGCAATTTTTAATTTCTTAGTAGACATGTTCTTAAAAAGCCAAAAGCATAAAATTCATTTTTACAATATATTTCAATAGAGCTGAGTGCTTCCAAATTATTTGCATTTTGACATGTGACCATTCTAAGAATATTAACAAAATATTTTTACATTCCTTTCCTTTTGCCCCATCTTGGAAATCTGGGATGTGCTTTATCCTTGCACCACTGCTCAGCCCAGACCAGCCACATGACAAGCGCTCACAGCCTCAGGGGTGCTGGTGGCTGCCCTTGATGTCCTAGGTGTTCAGGGTGCTGCGTGGCGGCCCATGGGTCCGGCGCCCCTCAGGGTGCCCTCAAGCCTCCTCAGTCTACACAGTCACTGCGGGCTCGCAGCGGCCTCCCATCGCCCATGCAGCGTCCCACGCTGCTGCTGCAGCTGGACCCATGCACAGCTCAGGTTCTGTCCCATGCCGTGCGCAGGGCCACACCTCTTCCTGATTTCCCTGCCTCTCCTGCCTGGGTCACCCTCCAGCCACCACCCCATCGCCTCAGAGACACCCTCACTCCCTCTCACAGTCCCCTAGCTAAGTGACTTTGTGTCCCCAACACCTGATGCCTCTGAAATGTGTCCCCTCTGGCCACGGTGGTCCCCAGATTTCCCCATCCAGTATGGTTCAAGCCTGTCTGCTTTCTGCAAGTAGGGGCACTGCCTCACTGACTGCTCCAGCGCCTGCTGCTCCTGGAAACCTTCTGGGATTTCTGCCACCCAGCCCTACAGGCCTGTATCTCCCTGGGTTCCTCTACACCCTGTGTAACCCAGCACACCTGTTACGTGTCATTCTGTAATGTATCTCCTCCTGCCCTGTGTCCTAGCCTGGAACCTCCCAGCTTGTGATATCATTTTCGTTCTTCTGATCCCAAGCTCCAAGTTCACATTAAACGACAGAATCATGACAGTGCTTGTCAGCTGCCTGCCTTTGTGTCCTGACCCATTCCCACCCTTCTCCAGTCTCAGCCTTCTGGCATAGAAACAGAAACTGTGCAAATTGCCAGACATGCATTCCCAGGGTCAGGTGAGAGCGGGACAGTATTGCTCCCCAACTGTGGCTGCTGAAGTCTGAGCCGTGGTGGGGATGGGATAGATGAGGACAGAGGGTGGGAGCTGGAGAGACAGCACAGAAGGTAGGCCCAGCCCTGCAATACCCACAGCAAGGCCTGCCAGAGGGGCTTCTCCCTGCTGGCGCTATCCACCTCTCCCATCGACGCCTCCTTTTCTCCCAGGTGTCTGCTCTGTGCTGGGTCTTGTCAGGATGGAAGGTTTGCGTAGGGCAGGAGTCTGTCCCCAACCACCTGTGTGACCCACATACACACCCATGCACACACATAGGCACATGTGCACATCTGCCAAAGCTGGTGACAAGCCTGCCAGTGACACTTCCCCGGCGTTCCTTGTCCCACCCAACTACATCATGGGCACTAGGCCCTTTAGGTGCCAGGCCATGCTGCAACAGCTTGAGCTGTGCCATCTGCCCACTGGCCTGTGAGCAAGACAGAAGTCCCTTTGGGGCAACACTTCAGGAGCTCCAAGGAGAACCTGTCTTCCCTGTCCCAAAACACATAGCCACAATCAGAGGTGGAGCTTCACTCCCAGGATCGAGGGAGCTAGGAGTCCGTCCGGAGCAAGGGGAGCCTGGGTCCTCTGGGGGAGAGTAGAGGCAGCAGAGCTGACTCGGCTCCACAGAAGGACAGCAGGCTCAGGACATCCATGCCATGGGGATGCCAGCTAGAGCATGGGAAAAGATGAGAGAGGACAGGTATTATCATCAGGGTCCTGGCCTAGGATGACAGATCTCCTGCACAGGGGTACGATGACAGAGTAAAACACAGACAAGAGATATATATTAGTTACAAGGGGCACCAGGATGGTCAAAACCCAGTAAGGACTAATACCATGAGGCGTGGTGTCTGTGGGCTTTATGAGGTGCACAGCATGATTGTGGGTGTGCTGCTGGGCCGCAGGAAGCAGTGGGGGTGAGCTGCTGACACAGTCAAGTTCAAGAATTGAGGAGCAATGCATTTTGGGAAAAGTGCACAGGAGCAGGTCAATGTTAACCAGTAACCCAACCGCTAACTATGAGTGCTGAACCAGAAGGAATGTGCATGCCTCAAGTGCTCAGCTGCCACCTTAGCTTGCTGTGAGGCTCCAGAACGTCACAGACTGCTGGCCTCAGTTGTGGCCGCTGGCTTAATCTGTCCTTAAACCAGGCAGGAGTCTCACCACAAATCGTGTAGGCCCAGGACAGAATCTCAATATATTTTTGTCCCACTTTATTAATATGAATTACTGTCTGCTCTGTACCAGGTCAAGTTGGTCCTCAGCAAGATATAACACTCCTCAATCCTCTATTTACCAGCCATTTATTCCAAAATGAATAAGGAGAGAGAAAAAAATGCAATCAAAAAGAACGCAGTGAACACCCACTACATCCCAAGCACACAGGGAAGCACGGAGGATGCAGACTTTACTTGTGACAGTGCCCCTGGTCTCCTGTGCTCACCGCCCCTGCATCTTCGCTCCCACCCTCATCCCTTCTCTCTTGGGTCCATCCTTCCAAGCTCTGGGTCCAGTCATGCGAGACAGAAGTCACGAGAGGCACAGGGTGCTATGTGGTCCCACGACACGGAAGGAAGCGTTGAGTGCTACAGAAAGCTGGGGGAGAATCTCGTCACTGTGCCCCGGGGCTCCCCTCCACCAGGGCACAGGGGCGGGACAGTGTGGGGCCTTGAAGAGGATGCACTGAGCCAGCACTGTGGGTCAAGAGGGCAGCCTGAGCCCACACAGGAAAGGCATCTGTGAGCTTGGGCAACCCCAAGCGCAGGCCGGGCTGAGCGAGGCTATGCCCAATTCTGAGGCTGGGCCCCTGTCCCCACGACGCCCACGCTGTGCCAGCCCCTGGCCCTCTGAGGTTCAAGGGATGGGGGAGCAGCTTGGACCGCGCACCCTCCTGCCTGGGCTCCCGCCTCTGGCCTGTGCCCCTGCATGTCCCTGGCTTTGCCTGGATCACGTGTCCTCTGCAGCCACATGTCTGGAGTGTGGCAGGTGAAGGCTTTGGTGGCTGTGTGTAGGAAGCTCAGTGATCCCGTATCTTGAATAATCCGATTGTAATCAGGAAGAGGTTTATTTGGGCTTACAGGGTTTTTTTTTGAGGTGGGGGTTCCAGTCCCAGATTGGGCAAACCTGTTGCTCTGCCTCCCATGGGCAGTGTACGGAAGAGCAAACCGGCCACTTCATGGGCCAGAAAGAAAGAATAAAGAAAGGAGAAAGCTGTGACTTCACTGCAACCTCACTAGGGCCTGTCCTTAATAACAAAGCCCTCCCTCCCACGGGGCTCTACTTCACTAATGACACCCTGGGGGCCAGCCCCTTAACCCTGGGCGTATGGGGGACACTAGTGGAACCATCCTGGTCTCAGCCCCAGGTTCAGCCCCAACCTCCACCCAAGCAAGGGAGGACAGAGCCGCCCAGCCACAACACCTCCCATGGCCTCCCAGGTGCACTGTTGGGCCCAAGGACTCACCTGGGATGGGGCTTGGGACGGCGACAGACCGAAAAAACACACTGGAAGCAAGAAAGAGCAAGAGGCACGGAGAAGCAGAGCGCAGGAGAAAGAAGGGGGAGCAAGACGTGCATCCACAGGGCAGACACGGGGTCTGAGGGAGAAGGGGATCTGAGCCGAGGCCTTGGAGGACAGGTGTGACTTCATCTTCCTGGTGGCAGCAGCTCAGGCCGGTAGCATGGCTGGGATCCCCAGGGAACGAGCCTGGGGTCCCCAGAAACAGTCTGCGCCAGGATATCCCAGCAGCGTGGGCAGGAGGGAGATAGGGCTTGGCTGGGGGCAGGTGCCCCAGCAACCCTCGAAGGATTGACTGGGCTGTCACTGGGGGAGCAGTGCATGACAGCCAAGGGTGCCGCACTCCCTGGCCGCTGGCTGCCTGGCACGCACCAGCAACAGATGTGCAAAGTGCGGGGAGGTGAGCTGGGAAACCACTGCGGCCTGTGCGGCGGGCCCGTGGGGGAAGAAGTGGAGGAGGCTGAGAACTGGTTCCCAGGCCCCTGGTGGCAGGCACTCCGTGTGGAAGCCCAAGCAAGCTGGACCCGCTGCCAGCACCAGGCTGGCCTGGCCCAGCCTTAGTGACTCCCTACATCCTCCGGGTTCAGGGAGCCCTCGGCCAGCCCCTGTGCCAGTTCGTTCAGGCTGGTCATGTCCTCTTGGGCAGTGAGCCTGCTGCTCTCAGACCCCCGGGACACCGAGGCCTGGGTGGGGCCGGATGCCAGGCGCCGTCTGAGCGCAGTGGCCAGCAGAGCCTTCAGGTACTGGCGGAAGCGGCGGCTGGAGAAGGCATAGAGCACGGGGGTGAAGCAGCAGTGGAGGAAGGCCAAGCTCTCGGTCACCTGCATGGTGTAGTCCAGGCGCCGGCTGGCCTGGCAGTCCCCGAAGACCTGCAGGTCCAGCAGCGAGTGGAGGAACAAGGTGAGGTTGTACGGGAACCAGAAGGCAAAGAAGGCCACCACCAGGGCCGCAGCCATCCTCAGCGCCCGGCCCTGGCCCCGGGGCTGCAGCCGGACCAGGACGCAGCCGATGCGGGTGTAGAAGAAGATCATGGCCAAGAGGGGAAGGAGGAAACCTAGCAGGTTCTGCTGGAAGCGAAGGAAGAGCTTCCAGGTGGTCCCATGGCCCCCAAAATCTGGGTAGCAGCTCCACACGCCCTTGGGGTGCTCGTGTACCTGCACAAAGACCATGTCGGGGACAGAGATGGCCAGTGCCACGGCCCACACCAGGGCAGCAAGGAGCAGGCTCTTGGCCCGGGTCCTCAGCCTGTGCAGGGGCTGGGCATGGACGATCTCCAGGTACTTGTCCAGGCTCATGCAGCTGATGAAGAAGATGCCACTGTAGAAGTTGATGGTGTAAAGGGTGCTCACCACCTTGCACAGGAAACTGCCAAAGACCCAATGCCAGGCCACGGAGATGCCCCAGAAGGGCAAGGTCACCACAAAGAGGAGGTTGGAGATGGCCAGGTTCAGCAGGTAGACCTCGGCCATTCGCCGGCGGGGCACATAGCGGAGCAGGACCACAAGCAGCAGCAGGTTGCCGCCCAGGCCCAGGATGAAGACCAGGCTGTAGAACACTGGCAGGAAGACACGGGCGAAGGACAGGACCTCGTCCTTCGTGCACACCAGGAAGACCACTGAGTCCAGGTAGTCGTAGTCATAGTAGAAGCTGCTGTTCTCCACAGCAGCATCCTTTGTGGCGAGGGGTGGAGGGGAAGCAGTGGTGGCCATCACGGGGGTTACTCCCAGGCCTGAGGCTCTGCAGTGGGGTGAGAAAAAGAATTCAGTGAGCCCCGTGTGCCTGTCCTCTGCCCTGGACCACAGCAGCTGCTGCCCTGGGATGCCCCATAGATGCAAGGGCACAAACTTAGGGGAACCATCGTGTCTCCTCAGATAAGTGACTTCACTTACCTTGAGTTTGTTTGAGCGGCTTTGCTTCTTTATTTTTTTCCCTCACCTTTTAAAAAATCTCTAATGTCTTCAGATTCTTCTTTATTATTGTGAGATACCAGCTTGCCAATTTATCATATCTTAGCACCTCAGACTGAAACACGGAACATTCCAGATTCTTCCACAGACTGAAACACAGAACATTCCAGATTCTTCTGCAGACTGAAACATGGAACATTCCAGATTCTTCTGCAGACTGAAACATGGAACATTCCAGATTCTTCCACAGGCCCCTCACTAGCACCCTGTCAGTCTCTGCCCTTGCCTCTGGCTACTTGCCTCTAAGCCCCATAAAAATATACACATGGTATTCCTTCTTAAAATTGTAAACAAGTGAAACCAGAAACTATATTTGAAGGAATATGGGCCAATGGAGGCGGCAGGAGGCAGGGGAGTGGCAGACACAGATTCCAGATGGCAGCTGCCAGGGCAGGAAGAACCACAGGCGGGAAAGGCATGGACCCCAGTGATGGCATGAGCCACCGTCTACTTTGTCCTGGGACAGTGCTTTCCCAGGACTGTACTGTATTATTAAAAATACTGCTTATATATTGTAAGTAGCAGACTGCAGGTATTTTCTTTTTTTTTTTAAATGACTAATAACCAGTCATAGTCATTGGGCCCAACACGGCAGTCCAAGTGTGCAATGTGTCACAACCATGTCAGAGGAATTAACACCAACATATCCATCACTTTGTCATTTCTTTGTGGTGAAAACCTTCGAAACCCTTTCTTCCAGCTTTTCTGAAATGATCAATAAATTACTGTTAACTATAGCCCCCCACTGTGCTCAGCTTCTCTCATCTGGCTGTAACTTTGTGCCTGTTAGCCAATCTCTCTCAATCCCCCACGCCACCCTGCCCCTCGAGGCCATTCCCTGCTTCTGGGAGAGGAATTTTCTTGTTTTCCACCTGTTAGTGACAACAGACAGTGTTCACTGTAATGCGCCTGGCTTTTCTCTTTTAACACAATGTCCTGGCCAGGCATGGCGGTGCATGCCTGTAGTCCCAGCACTTGGGAGACTGAGGAAGGAGGATTGCAAGTTCAAGATCAACCTGGGCTACACTGCAAGACCCTGTCTCAAAAACAAAAAACAAAAAAAAAAAAAAAAACAAAAAACAGGGGCTGGGGATTTAGCTCAGCGGCAAAGCGCCTGCCTGGCAAGTGCAAGGTCGTGAGTTCGGTTCCCGGTACCGGAGAAAAAAACAAAAAAAAAAGAAAAAAAAACTACAATGTCCTGCATCTGGCACAAATGACAGGATTGTATGATATTTTATGGTGAATAAATCCTACTATGAAAAAAACCTATTGTGTGTCTATGGCACACTGTGCTTACCCACTCACCAATCAATGCTTAATGAGGGTGTAGTCCCATCTTGGCAGCTGTGAACAGTGTTGTACAAATAGGCTAGGGCAGGGCAGGTGTCTCTTCAACATCCTGACTCCATTGGGTTTTTTTGAAAATGCCCAGTAGTGTGATTATCAGATCATATGCTATTTCTTTATTTTTAAATTAAATTTATTTTTAACTGATACATGAACCATAAAAATTACATGTATTTATGTGGTACTGTGTGGTGTTTCAATACATGTAAACATTGTATAATATTTAAATCAGGTTACATATATCTGCTTAAACATTCTTTATGGTCAAAGACTTAAAATCTGCTGGGCACGGTTGCACACTCCTGTAATCCCAGCACTCGGGAGGCAGAAGCAGGAGAATCATGCTGTGAGGGCAGCTTGCGCTACATAGTGAGTTCAAGGCCGGCCTGAACCGACCCTGTCTCAAAAAACCTTTTTTATATATAGTAGAATACAGGACTCTAGTTTCATTCTTCCGCATGTGAATAACCAGTTTTCCCAGCTTTATTAATGAAAAGTAGTTTTTTGTTTCTGTGTCTGTTTGTTCTGGGCAGTACTGGGGACTGAGCCTAGGTCCTCACACATGCTAGGCAAGCACTCTACCACTGAGCTACATCCTCAGCCCAGAAAAGAGTCTCTGAAAGAGAAGCCTCATGTGGGCTGATGCTATGAGTCTATCGTGAGCTAAGAATTGTGCTCAGACCTGTACTGTGTTCCAGGCGAAGCAGAGAGACTGACTTCATGCTCAGCACGTGAAATTACTCACTCGTAGGGAAAGGGCTTTGGGAGCAGAGAGCTCCCCAGCCTCTGCTCCAGATTCTGATTCCTCTCCAGGAGGAATATTTGGCCCAGCCAGGCAAGGGAGCAGGGCCACTGACAAGGGGCTTGCAGGTGGGAGCGTCACAGGCTGAGAGACACCAAATCAGCTCTACCCGCACGTGTGCGTTTCTTTCCATACTCTGACTAAGGTGAGACTGAACTTCTGGGTATATTCGATGCCAGTTTGTATTTCTTCTGTGAATTATGTATTGTTTTCATGAGTGGGGTCTTGTTTTATAAGAAGTCTCATATGCTATGGACTTTGCCTTTTTTCATGTAGACTATAGTCCTTCCTAATAGGAGTTTTGCCTTTTCTTTTTTTTAGGGATCTTAGCAGTAGGATTTCGGAGGAACTGTAGGTCAGGGGCTTCCTCTGCCCCTGTCAGTGCCACAAGCTCACAGCGATGGACATTCCCAGGGCCGCCCAGGCACAGCCAAACTTGGGTCATCCCACGCTGTAAGCTCTGCCCCAACCCCAGGCTCCTACCAAACAGTATCTGGAGCAGAGGCTGGGGAGCTCACGTGCATGCTCTGTCCCGGCTCCAGAGCACCAGGGGTGCTGCTCTATCCAGGACCCTGCTCTGGAGCATGGCCTGGCCTCCTTCGCTGCTCCTGCACTCTCCTCCCGGGGTCAGGGACCTCCTGGCCCTGGGACCCTCTCCCTTCGGGCAGCAGTAGGGCTCCCCATGGCTGATTCCTTGGGAGTCTGGGAGCTGCTGGGGCCCAGTGCAGGGCGCCCTTCTGCATTTGAGCTTGACTGGGGCTCAGATACCAGCAACTCCACAGCAGCCTTTCTGAGCTGCTAGCATGGCCTTGATCTTGACCTATTTTTCAAGTCCCTGACTTTTGCTTCAGCAAACAACTAAGGCTGACAAATGCTTAAATCACAGCACCAGGGGTCAGGGTCAGCCGGTGAGAGCTGGTCCAGCGCTGTCAAGGTCGCCCTTGCAACACTATCCCTTTCCCACACAGATTTCAATCTGGTGATCTGTCCCTCGGAATCGGTCCAAGTCCTCTGCCTCTGGGACAACCCTCCCTTCCCTCCCCTCCATCAGCACTGCCAATGATGACCTAGCACCCAGCACCCACGGGCACCCTCACATCCACTGAGGCCACAGCACCCGAGGAAGGGGTTGGGAGCCCCCTCTGACCCAGGTCCCCAGGAAGTCATCAGCTGAGTAGCGCCTGACATGTGTCTTCAGATCGCCTGGCCCAGTGCCTTGGCCTCTGCCCCGCCCCACCCAGCAGGTACCAAAGGGGACACCGGGAGTACAAGGACGCAGGTCTTAGCCAGGGGTCAAGGTCGTGCCCTGGCAGTGCTTTGAGGAGCCCCCGGGTGCAGCACAGCCTCTGTCCACCCCATTCCCACCCCCAGCCCGGGGACTGAGACAACCAACGCAGCAAGAGGGACTTTGCCGATGCGGTCAGGTAAAGGCCTCAGGGTGGGGGTGATCCTGGACGTCCACCTGTGCCCAAGGCCATCCTGAGGCTCCTTGTGAGAGGGAGACGGGGTGTCAGGAGCGCAGAAGGCGAGGAAATGACGGAGCAGGGGGTCTGTGTGACGCAGTGGCTGCCATGCGGCAGGCAGCCTTGGGAAAGATATCCCCGAGAATGCAGGAGGAGCCGGGCCCTGCTTCCCCTCCTTAGCAGAGGACAGCACGCCTGTGCTGCTCGAAGCCACTCGATGTGCCGTCAGCTGTTCCCAGCATCGGGGAGTTCACACAGGGCCGAGACCCGTGTCCTCAGAGTCCCCACTCGGGGACAGCGACACGGCGGCATCTCCCTCCTCACCGCGCGGGAGCAGACCTGAGGGGCACAGGCCGCGCACCGCCCGCGAGCCCGTGAGAACCTGGTCCCGTCTGCACTCCAGGCTCTGTCCCCAGCCCTCGCTGCCCTCTGCCTGCGCCTTTCTGCTTTCCCTTTTCCTTCCCTTTTCCTCACCGAAGCTTCTCCAGCAGCACCTGGAGAAGGACAAGTGGGCAGCAGTCATCCCCATCTCAGCATAAATGAGCAGTAGGTAAGGCGCCCCTGGGGGAAGCCCCGCGGGGAAAGCTTTGGGGAGCTCGGAGACTCCCACAGGGCTGGACAGGAGACTTGGAGGACGAGGGCTGTCAGGCGAGGCCCGCAGTGCAGTCGGGTGAAGAAGGGAACCGCCGTTTAGCGCGGGGTGGAAACAGGGACCTTTGGTGGTCCTGGGGCTGCCGGCCTCCGCTGGCTACAGTCCCAGTTCACAAGACCGTCTGACTGAAGGGATTGCCCAGGCCTCCCCCCCACCGCCTTGCCTCTTTCCACAGGGTGCAGCTGGGGCAACCAGGGGGAAGATAGGGCCACAGGCATCAGGACAGAAGGCAGCTGCGCGCGAGCAGTCTCACTTCATCCTCACTACAGCCAGGGCACCGTACTATCCGGATCTTCACTTCCTGGAGGGGAAACTGAGGCTTCACAATTGCCTGCAGCCCGGATTGGTGCCCGAGGGACCAGGATGGGAGGCCCTCCCCCGGGCCCCTTGCAGGATGCTCAACTTGCATCTGGAAGATGAGGCTCTGAGCAAGCAGGGGAGGGCTCGGCCGAGTCTGTGTGGCACTGGGCCAACTCACCAAGGCCAGCCCTGCACTGGGGACAATGGGAACATGGACACCACATCGAACGCTGAAAACCAGGGCTCCTACTCTCCAGAGCCCCCTCCCTCTCACCCACCCAGAGCTGCCGCTCAATGCTCCCCAGCAGGGCGCCGATCAGGAGATCAGGATGCAAGGGGCCGGCCCAGCCCATTCAGCTCCCCCAGCCTCACCCTCTCCACCTTCCACATTCGGCCCACCCACACCCCTCCCAGCCGGGAGCTCTGAAGTTCAGGGCCACGTGTCGGTCCCGCTTGGGTACTGACCATGTCCCCATGCTGTTTGCTACATAACTGGTAAGAGGTGAGACTGATCAAATAAACAAGGTAAAGCGTAACCTCAGCAGCTGCCCCCGTTTTTGGACTGGAACACCAGGAGAACTGTTTAAGGTCATGTCCAGTGGACAGGACCTTGGCTCTTGGCGTGGAATCTGGAAATCATCCTGACCCTCCCCTCCCTGCCCTAGCCCGGCACTCAGCACTCGCTCCTCCGCTGACCTCCTGGACATGGAGGACACCTGCCTCCCGGTGGCCGCCGAGTCCCCAGCACAGCACAAGGCTGCCCTCAGAGAGCCATCTAACCAAGGGCTGGAGGCAGCCTCCTCTCTCCGGCCCTTCTCTCTGGCCTTGTTTTTCCCTTTTTCTCCCCCCACCCGGTCTCCTGGATGCTGTGGAGCTGAGCCACGCTGCTCCCCAGCTGGGACAGCTCAGTGCCCGCAGCCCGGAGCCTGTGCCCAGGCAGCGTGACCCACGCAGGCGCCCTCTGCCCTGTTTCCACGTGAGCCGTGTTCACTGTCCTGTATCACAGGAGGTGGCCCCGTGACCACCCCCGCCCGGAGGCTCCCCGATTGCTCTCAGGATTCTGGAGTGTGAGGGTCGCCTGGGACGGCCCCTCGGATCCCCTGCCCAGCCCACTGTGGCTGGGAACGCTGCGGCAGTTCCCAGTCACACTCTGGCCGCGGCATCCAGCCTGGGGCTTCGTCCGAAAGCAGAGATCCTGACCTAACCGCAGCCATTCTCTTCAATAAAGCTGCAGCCGTTCTCCTCTCTGCCACAGAACTCAGCTAAATCACGACTTGTCATCAAACCGAAACTTCTGTGAATGCGCTAAACACACTTTGCTACACACTGCTGTGCTCACCACGAGATACCAGGGCCTTCAGCTATGCTTATCTCAGTTTTGTTGTAACGCCCCCTGCCAGCCTATACAGAGGACAAACTGCTTATCATCAGCGCCTCAGCCTGTGGAGACGACACCTCCGGGCTGCACCGTTGTTAAACAAAGTTTCCTTTCTTCTCCTAAGCTCCTGGCCGCTGCTGACTCAATTTTCCTGAAACGCTGGGACACAGGCGGCCGAAACCCTCCTGCTTGGGGAGCCGGTAACCGAGCGAGGTCTCTGCGCTCGTCTTCCTGGACTTGGGAGAATGGCAGACGTTAAGGTCTAACTCTGCACATGCCTACAGCACTCACTGCAGGCGGGCTCCGTCCCCAGAACGCCACCTGAGCTCATTCTTTCCATCCTTGCGGCAGTTCTGCGCAGGCAGGGTCCCGATCTCCCCTGCACACGTGAGCACACCGAGACCCAGGGGGCTAAGCAGCTGGCCCAACGATTAACAGCTGCGCGGGGACTTGAAGCCGGGCCAAGAGTCCACGCTAGCTCCCAAGAAAACAAAGGATAGGGCCAGAGGTGGAGAAGGAACAACAGGAGATCCTGATGGCTTGGGACTGTGACAGGTCAGAGGCCAAGGACAAAGTGTCGCGCTAGGGCAGGAGCTCCCAAAAGACCGACTTGGGTGGAGCTACACCCACCCCTCACCTGCCCTTGAGGTGCCCTCCAGCTGACGCCTTCCTGCCTGTAGCCCCATTATGAAAGTGAGGCTGCCCTCCAGGACTCCCCCGAATCAGACTTTCTGTCCATAAAGTGAACCGCCCACGGCGAGGGCTGTGTGTCTCGGGTGTCCACATGGGATCCACAAGGGCAAAGCGTGGCTGCATGCGCGGCCCAGGAAGGAGGGCAGCGCGGACTGACCCGTTTGACCTTCAGTTCAGCTCATGCATGTCCACACTGCCGTTCGCTCTGTTCTGTTAGAAGCTCACGCTCCCACACACGACATCCACACCGCTCAGAGAATATAACTGCAGGTGTAGGGTTCCTCCCTCAGCCCTACACATACTAAGAACCCGAATGCTCACAGCGACCCTGAGACAAGGCCTGCTTTACCACGGAGGAACGGAAACTCAGACAGGGAGAGAAATATTCCCCAGACACACAGCGGACACAGTCAGTTTTCACATCTGCAGATTCGAGCAGGCTCAGGTCACAGGGACTCAGATAAAAACAAAAAGCCGCACCTGTGCTGCACAGGTGCAGACATTTCCGCGGTCATCCTTCCTCTAGCAACAACTCCCTCCCCCGCGTGCGCGCTGCATCCGGTTTATACGCAACCTGGAACTGACTTAGTCTCTGCTCGGATGAGGGCACGGTGTCCCTGCTGTGACACTGCACACAGCGGGAGCTGGCACGTCTGACCACAACGGGAGACCAAAGAGTTGAGGGTCCTGGAGGCCATCCCCCCCGTTGAGCATCCAGGGACCCCGGATACAGCAGCCTTAGAAATCAAGTCCCTGTGGCTGGCTGCCCAGCAGGCCCCAAACAGCCCCTCCTCGTGCTCAGACCCCCGGGAGGGGAAGGGCGCCCCATGCAGACCCAGCGTCCTGAAATTCCCACGGGTTTCTGTGCTTCCCGCAGTGACAAAGGGCTGAAATTCTCAGCAGTGAGACTTTTCCGCTGACGAGTTCCTGCCCCGCACACCCTGAGCCATCATGACTAAAGCACTCTACTACGTTGCTGGTGGGAGTGGGAACTGGTCCAGACACTGGAAATCACTGTGGAGGTCCCCAAAACACTAAAACTGGAAACTCCATTCGACCCAGCTGTTCCCTCCTAGGTATCTTCCTGAGAGTTAACCACAGCATGTGACAATGATCCTTGCACACTCGGGTTTCCAGCCGCACAGCTCATAACAGCTAAATTGTGAAAGCAGCCTGTATGTCCATCAACAGAAGAATGGATATAGAGAATGTGGTGTTTACACACCATGGAGTACTACTCTGCCATAAAGAAGGATCAACTTGAGCCGTTTGTAGGAAAATGGCTGCATGTGAGACGGTAATGGTACGTGAAATAAATCAGACACACAAGCTGAAATACCACATTGTTTCTCTGATAGGAGAAATTTTAAGTACAGGTAAATCAAACAGCAAAATAAAAGACAGGTAATAGGAAACAGGGAGATAGAGCTTTTGTGAAAGGGAAGGGGAAGAAGAGGTGCAGGAAGGTGGGGAGAAAGAGAAGTAAAAAGAATTGAGAGTTTTCACATCCACGTGCCAACCCCCAAGAGGAGCGTGGTCCTTACGTACTGCAAACACATGCTAATAAAAATTAAAATTTAAAAATGCACCACAAGAAAAAAATTCTTAACACAAAACATCCCAGCTGTACTTGGCCCCACACGCCCCGGGGTCCTGCTCACTAAACAGCGGGGAGCAGAGCCTCTGAGATCCGGCCCACCCTCGCCCACAGCCTGTCCCTGGTAGACCCCATCTCTCACCCCGACCGCGATGATGCCTGTCCCAGGAACTCGCCACTGTCCCTCCTGACGGTGTGCTCCAGTCTGAAGAAACCTTCCCTGAGTCCCTTAGTGCTGGTGACCTGTCACTGCCTGCATCACCGCCACCATCGGGCCTAGGGCCTTCAGCTCCTCCGGCTCAGTTCCATCAGGAGCGGTGACACCGGCCCCAGGCCCGCAGGGACCACAGGGACCCAGGGCAACGCAGCCAGCCAGGCCCACCGCCCCGGGCTCTGGCCTCTAACTCCCAGCCCACGGCAGAGAGCGCTCTCTCTTCCTTCTTAAATATTCTCCCTGACTTACACACACAACACGTTCAGTGCAAAGTCTGGAAATATGTGGGAAGCAGAAAGGGAGCTGAAAGCGTCGTGAGCCTCACAGCCCCGCGGCCACGGACGGCTCGGCACGCTGCTCTGCCTTCCTGCGGGGCCACGTCTGAGTCCTGGCCCTCCTGGTCCTGTGGCCCTGTGCCCGCCCAGCAGCCCAGGGGTCACCGAGCTGCCTGTGAGGCTCTGCTCCCCACGCCCCCGGGAAGCCACATTCCGCATTGCTTCCTGGCTTTTATCGGGGACCAGGATGTTTGCGACCTCGACGGCGCCTCCTCCCAAAGCCGGCTTCCGCGAGCGCACAGACCCAGCGCCTGGCGCTCCGTGGAGCTGCTGCCAGCGGAGAAAGAGCGATTTTCGGTCTTTCCTCGACTGTTCTTCCATTCTGTTCTTTTCAGCCTTCCGCCGTCCCACGGGGGCTCCCTGGGCTTGTATTGCAGCAAGACGCCAAGTTCAAAACGACGCGCCTCGCCACCCACTGGGAGCGCGGGGACCCAGACAGAGTAGGAGCCATCCACTTTTTGCTTTTCTTTGCGCTGCTACGAATTGAACCTACGGCCTTCACATTGAGCTCATTCTCAGCCCATATTTATTTTTTTATTTTGAGACAAGGTCTTGCTAAATTGCCCAGGCTAGGCTTGAACTTGCAACCCTCCTGCCTCAGCTCCCAGAGCGCGGCAGTCACAGGCGTGCACCACCACACCCAGCTTAATCCACCTCTTCCGGGCTCCGGCTGAGCGACCCTGCGCTAACTAGTCAACTTCTCTGAGCCACAATTTCCCCATCTGGAAGACGATGCCTCCCCTGTGGGATTGTTATGGTAATTACTCAGGCTCCCGTTGTTCCCTCCCCAGCCTGGACAGGAGTAAACTGACTAAACGACAGCGGAGGGCTGGGGCGGGTGCGAGGGGCTTAACGTCAGGGGAGTAAGGAACGGCCCGCGAGGGGAACCTGCACAGGGGGAAGAGGCGGGGTGCGGGGCGGGGGGTGGCGCAAAGCCCGGAGGACAGGGAACCCCAGGTCTCCTGGGCGTGCCAGCTCCTCAGCGCCAGGCTGAAGAGGGCGGCGTCCGCAGGGCGCCCGGGGGCAGCCAGGCCCCTGGGGAAGGGATCGACTCCGAGGCCGCCGGCCCGGCCAGAGCAACCTGCACCCCGCTGCCCCGACCCCCTCCCCGAGCCCCGCGCCTGCGCACTGCGCGGGTCTAGGTGCCGTCGCGGAGGCGCTCGGGCGCGTTCTGCAGTAAACCCGTCCTGCGAGCGCCTCCTACCTCTGCGGCTTCTCCTCCCTCCTGACGACCGTCCTGGGCGGAAGCTCCCCGGCCCGCGCTGTGACCTACCCCAGCCCTTCGCGGGGGCCTGCAGGGCTGTGCGCCCCGCACTGTGAAAGCAGCCGGATGTCCCGCCGGTCCCGGGGGCTGCTCCCCTTCCTGCACCCTGCAGCCTCTCTGCCCACCGAAGGCTGTGGCCGCAGCTCCCCGGCGGCGGCGGCCCCCAGGACCCCACCCGTCCTGTCACATCCCCGGCTCCACCCGGCTCCTCCAGCTCCCATCCGAGGCCAGCGCTGTTACTGACTGGTCACCCCGGCGGCAACTCCCTCCTCCGTCCCTCCCTCCTAACCCACCACGTCCTGCTGTTCCCCACCCCACCGGACCAGAGTGGAGCCTGAGCGAATGCACGTGTGTGCAGCACGGGCTCCGCAATGCGTGCTCCAGTGTGCGGTCCCTGCCCCAGGGTCCTGGATCAGGTTGCCCCCTCCCTCTCCCCCAACCTGCTGCCTCCACCCTCCCCAGACCTGTGGCTTCTGCCAGACTCCAGCAAGCACCGGAATTCCCACCAGGGGATGAGGCCCCAGGTTTGGGGCCACACAGACCTGGCTTTGAATCTGACTCTGCGTTTACTGCTGTGTGACTTAGAGACGCCGGCTTTACCTCTCTGGGCTCAGTTTCAGCGTCTGTGTGGGGCGTGGGACAGTCCCCTGGACAGGCATCAGAGGCCCAAGTATCCCCAAGAGGTGGACGTGGACTGAGACGTTTGCCGTTCTCTGGGCCCGCAGAGCAGAGCCCAGGCTGCAGCAGGTCCTCGTGCATACTGGAGGGGCAGGCACTGCCCGAGGTGAGTGTCCAGGCCTCTCAGGCCGGTGTCCCTCAGCAGCCCCTGCAGAGAAGCAGCCAGAGACCCAGTTCCCTGCCCAGAAGCCCCTAAACTCCACGATCAGAGCCCAGCTGCCTTCCCCTGGCTTTTTGCTTCTTTGTTCTAAAATTGTTAGACTTGCAAAAATAACGCCCAGGATCCCCGTGTACCTGTCCACCAGCTTCCCTGGCACTTGTGTCTGACGCAGTCACACCGGCAGATGCAGGCTGGGCGGCGCTGCTAGGGCCTCGTGCTCTGGTGTGACAGCCGGGGGCTCGGTCCCGTGATGGCGCTAAGAGGTGGGGCCTCCAAGGTGGTTCCGTGGAAGGTGCTGGGCCGTGGGGCCCCGCCTCACAGGATTACATCGGGCAGAATGGGCTGCTATAAAGGAGCTCGGCTGCTGGCTCTCCGCCTCTCCCTTCCTGTCTCACCTGTGACCTCTCCTGCTACAGGGACACCCCCCACCTCAAGGCCTTTCCCGGAGCTGAGCAGATTTGGACACCATGCTCTGGAGCCTCAGAACTGAGAGCCAAATAAACCTCCTCTCTCTATAAGGTTCCCGGCCTCAAACACTACGTTATAACAACATAAAATGTAGCACACAGATCTTATCAAATGTCACCTGTCATCCCACTAATGCTGTTCTGGGGCCAGGATCAAAACCAGAACCCACCCCACAGCACTTGGCGGTCTCTCCTCCACCTCTCCGTTCCTGGACAGCTCCCCAGCCTTGCCTCCTCTTTCACAGCCTTGATGGTTTCTGTCGGAGACCACTGCAGAGTGGCTCCGAGCAGGATTTAATATTAACCAATTGGCTTTTCGTGTTTGCTTGTGAGCTGTCTGACTCAACTCCAGTTAACTTAAAGGAGACTGTAGCTGCAGACATCGCATTCCTGCTGTGAAGGCCTTCCTGGAGATAACATAGTTCTCCTAAATTAACATAACGTATTACTTGGAAAAGTCCTGCCCAGATTCCTGCCTTTTCTTGAGTATCCTCCTCCTTTGTTTGTAAACCAAATAAATATGGGCCACCCGGAGCAGTCTTTGGCTAAACTCTGAGAATATTAAAGTTGGAAGAGAATTAGTCCCTCCTGGTACCCTCAGATCATTGCCGTTGTCTCATTTATTTAAGCCTTTGCCATCCATTTGTTTGGGAGATTTCAGGCCTGATCAGCCTACAATAACTTAGGGTTATTTAACCCGGTTTTCAATAGGTTTCGAAGAGTTTGTAGAATGCCCCAGGTCCCAGCTTCTTCAAGCTCGGGTTGAGGTGATGCATTGAGGTCAGGACACCCCACATCTCCTCTGTGCATCATATGCAAGCTTCATGATCCCGAGGTGTCCCTTTGCCAGTTACAAAGGGATGTCATTGGGGCCAGGGGGTATCTGCCAGGTTTCTTCCTGTGAAATTAGCATTTATCCCTCCTTAATTAATGAGAATCTTCAGGACAGATACTTGGAGACAGCTTCCTGTGTCTCCTATTTTTGCTTCCTAATTTTAGTGTCTGCTGATGAAATTTTCCAACAATTATTGCTGTGGTGTTTGCCAAGTGATGAATTTTCTCTTTCCATCATTCTTTCTACACTTATTAATTGAAATTTTCTGTTGGAAGGAGTTAGTCTCCCTCCCCCTCTCTCCCTCCCTCCCTCCCTCTCCCCTTTCTGTCCTGATGGACTCATAAGTATTCACTGTAGTCCATTACTATTATAATTTATCTTGCTGGTAAAGTCCCATCCTCTCTTCAACTATCTCAGCCCATCTGCTTCCTGTTGAGCTGGCTTCCCTGAAGAGATGTTGCCAGACACTGTCACCTGCCCCCCATGTCACGCCCTGAGTGGGGACCTCGAGGCCTTGGCCGGACAGCTGGGTCTCCCTGCCACCCACTGAGGTATCTTCCCAGCCAGACCTGGGCTTTGCTGGAAGGGCAGATTGCAGCCGGAAGTGTGTCATCACGCCAGGCAGGGAGTTCCAGCGGCGTAGAGCCGGCCAGGTGGCCTGAGGTCTTCCCCTGCTGCGGGGTCACCCACTGTTCCTCTGCAGAGCTGGCTTGCACTCCGCCCTGGTCCCTTTTCTGCCTGCAGCAGGGAAGATTAGAGAAGCCTGGGAGGCTGCCTGCTGGTAGCAGCTGCCCATTCCTTCCAAACACGTGCAGGAAGTCCCCTCCTCCTAGGAGATGGTCACCAGCTGTCTCCACGCGCCCGGGGCAGCCAGAGCGGTGAGGGCAGCACGCAGCAGCCGGAGACTCCAGCCACAAAAGGCATGCTTGCCGGGGGTGGTGGGCAGCCAGAGGAGGCTAGGCCGCAGCTCTCGCTCTGAAGAGGAGGACGCTGCTGCCCTGGGTGGGGTGGGCCCAGCCTTGAGGCCGGGCGGCTGGAGCACGGGTCTCTCCCACGGGCTGCGGGCAGACCCGGCAGCTTTACTGTCCCGTGTCCTCGATGGGCTTCCACCTTCACACTGGGGGCACATCTGCCGTCTTGGTGAACAGCGGCACTGACCCATCCTTCGCAGGCGCCGTCAGGCTTTGTCCCCGCAGGCCTTGCCTGTCTCCCACCACCCAGCGGCAGCCCCCAAGCCTCTCCAGGTCCCCTGGTCCCGAGTCTGCAGACAATATTTCCGGAGTAAATCTGTTCCCTTCAGCCTGCAAACTCCCCACCGCAGGGCCGCATCCGTCTGCAGAGAACCGGCACTGTCCCCACCCCCAGCAGGGACTCCAGGACACAGGCCCTCAGGGTCAAGAGCGTGACCAAGCTGTGGCCTTGCGGCTTTGCAGCGGGAGCCTGGCTTGGCCCTGCCTCGCTCTGCCTCACTCTCCTTTTCTCTGCCTTCAGGGGGACGTTCACTCCCTTCCAGCTGCTTCTCTGCCTCCGCTGGTGTCCTGAGGCTGAATTCCTGACCAGAAAACCTGCCCTCCCCTGGGAGCTGGGTTGGCGCACGAGTTTACTCACTGAGAGGAGATGTGGGGGGCCAGCACCTCAGACAAGCTTCTTCCTGTCGCCCACTGATGGCACAAGAGGAAGGAAACTGCTCATCTCACCTCTTCCATTTCCTCTTTCTGCGCCCCCCCCCCCCGTCCTGGTCCCCTCCCTGCCCACCCTGGCCTGCACTGCGGCCCCTGCAGTGCGTGGAGCCTGGGAAGGGCTGCTCCTGCAGGGGAAGTGTACCCGCTCCACAGTGTCTAGCCTCCTGCCCGCCTTCCAAAGCTGCACACCCACTCATGCATCACCACCACCGGCCGGCTGCCCCCCGTGCACAGGGCTGCCAAGACCCAGCGAAGGAAGGCAAAGCTGGCTGCCAAAAGCACAGTGGACGTGAGCCCTGTGGCCCAGGGGACTCCCGCCCCCACGCTCTCCCACCACGCCTTCTTCATGTCTGCTCTGTTTAACTCTCCGCTCCTTCCTGCTTCCCGTCCTTCCAACTGAGACCGGCTTCGCTGCTCAGCACAGAAATCACACCTTGCCAATCTAAAGACCCCAGGGCAAAGCCTTACCGGCGCTTCAGTGGGGCAGACGCTCCAAGATTTATCAAATGAGCCGGGTTTGGTGGTGCTCACCTATTATCCCAGCCCTTGGGAGGCTGAGGCAGGAGGATATCCGAGTTGGAGGCCAGCCTCGGCCACACAGTGAGACCCTACTGAAGACAGGTCTTGGTGCTTTTTGCACACAGGAGCTCCACCACCGGGGTCCTCTCTGGCCGGTTGTACAGAGCTGGACCCAAGGGTACTCTGTCTCTCACTAGCTGTGATGTCCTGCTGGGACACCGAGAATTTGCCCCTGGGGACCACTGTCCAGTCTTCTGCAAGTTGGTGACCGGAAATGGACGCCCATGAGGTCATGGTGTCATGAGACGCATGAGGTCAGAGATGGCAAAGAGCAGTCGCTGGGCCTGCACGTGGGTGGGTGGCAGGCCGCTTCAGGAGCCAGTTTCATTTTCCGGGAACTTCTTTCTCTTAATTTTGGGGGGTAGGTGAGTTGAGACAGGGTCTCCCTGTGTCACTCAGGCTGGCCTCGAACTCTTAGCGATCCTCCTGCCACAGCCTCCCCCAGGTGCTGGGAGGACAGGAGTGCACCTCCACACCTGGCATCTTAAACACCTTCAGTGTCTCCCGGAACTGAAGAACTGAGGCCTGAGGCCTTGCCTGGCCACCCTCCACCCTCCACCGCTCCTGTCCAGGACACCAGCCCCGCCCAGGCTCCGACTGATGCCCGCCCAGCCCGAGCCCGGGCCAGAAGCCTCTTTCAGGGATCAGACCATGTTCATCCATCCAACTCCCCACTCACCCCACTTTGCCACAAGGAAAATCCAGCACAGAGAGCTTAGTAATTCTGACCCGAAGCCTGGGACTCGGGCCTCCACCCACTTACTCAGTTAATGGCGCCTCTCTTCCACATCCAGATGTTCCCCCTTCAGAGGAAACAACTCTGTAATTGTATGAAATAAGTTGTTTACTATGGAACTTTCCAGACACATCCTCCAAAGTGCGGGGGAGTGTATGAACTCCCATACACCCACCAGCAATCAGCGTCAAGGGCGGCTCGGCAGTGGCTGATGCGCCCGTTCTTGTGGGATTTGGGGCCAAATACCAGACCTCGTGTCACTGAATCTGTAAATATTTGAGGAAGTGCTTTTAGAGCACAAGGGCTTTGGGGCAGAGGGGTTCAAGTGCTTGCCTGACACTCACGAGGCCATGGGCTTGATCCCCGGCACACAACACAAACGCACACGAAATCAAAAGATAACTGCCGCTGTCGTATCTACAAAAGGGAACAGTAACCCTCACTGTCACCAGATCGCCCCCCAGTCATGCACACTTAAATGCCGCCCTTTTACATTTTGTTTGAATCAGGGTCCACGTGCTAGAAGAGGTTGAGTCCACATAAGTGTGTGTGTGTGTGTGTGTGTGTGTGTGTGTGTGGGCGTGTGTGCGTTCTTCATCTCTAAGTTCTTCTCTTCTGCTTTCCTCACAGCTCCTGGCCTGGCCTGGATACTGCTCATCCACGCTGTGCGTAGCGTTTCCCAGGTCTAGACCTTTCCCGAAGCCTCCTCTGCCATTGCTGAGCGGCCTCTCTGTCCCCAGTATGTCCCCAAGTCAAAAGTCCGAGGCTTGAGCTGACTATGGCCACTCCGGGATGGCGCAGGCTGGCCTGGGAGGGTCTCACCACCCGGGAGTCACGTGCTGCTTGGCCTGGCCCCGTCCTGCGCGGGCAGCTGTGCGGTGGAGGGTAGCTCCTTCTGCAGATTCTCGGCCGCTATGTCCCACTTTCCCCTCCTCAGTGGCTGCTGGTGCTCCTCGGTTCCACGCCGGGCTGGGCACAGCAGCAGGAGAGGGAGTCAGACTCCCGACTCTGGCAGGGCCGTGCTCTGGCCGTGGAGGGGAAGGGCCCTCGTGTGTGAGCCCTGACTCCTCCACCCACACCAGGAAAGTTCTCGGCAGGAGAGAGCCCGGCGTGGCTGGGTGTTGTCATCTGAGGCCATGGGAAACAGGCTTGGCCTGGAGGGAACACCCTGTCAACTTCTCAGGAGCTTATGTCGTCACTGTCACCTTGACCATTCCATCGCAGATGTCCTGTGTCCCCTACAGCCCCAGGTGTGGGACTGAGCCATTTCTGTGCTATTGTCTTAGTTACTTTCTCATTGCTGAGACAAAATACCCAACACTCAGAGTTCAA